GTTTGTCTTTATGTGCGTTCACTCGCGCGGAGCGGACCGGGGATGACTTGGCGCCGCGTTTCCCACGTCTGGGCTCAAAGAAACCCACGCTGGGAGCTCGGAAGAGGCTCTAGCTCTGAACAGAGGGAAGGCAAGGGAGATCACTGGATCCTAAGCAATCGATGACATTAGAAAAAACAGCTTTTCAGCACCAGCACTTGCAACTGGAAGGGCAGCCGTTTTCTGGAAAGAGCTCGGCCAGGGGCTTTATCCAGTTCTCTTTTTCTTGGCATTTACACATTTTTCCTTGTCCTCACGCTCCGAGGACTTGGTGACCTTAGCAATTGCCAGCAAGGGGACTCCGCATGATGAAAGCGGGCGAAAGGGAAAACCAGGGCGGGAACAGGGCAAGGCCAATTCCTCGCCCCGAGGAGGTGTGGTCAGGCCCGTACCTGGCCGCGCTCGCGCTCTTGTGAAATATAAAAGGGGAAGGCGCCCGTTGCTCAAGTAATTCGCTGCCAGGATCCCGGGTGAGAAGGGAAGGAGAAATGAGAAGCGCGAAGGTGCCGGAGAGGCTGAGTGCGAGGCCACCGCAGGCCCTGCTGCCCAGGGCTGCCTGGTAGCCCCGCTGCCGTGCCCGGCAGGCCGGCGCAGGACACGGAGCCGCCATGTCCCCGCGAGGAGCGGCGCTGCGCGAAGCCACCAAGGTGCAGGACCGCGGCTGGGCCTGGATGGTGCTGCTCGCCGTGGTGCTGCTGCAGGGGCTGACGCTCGGCTTCCCCTCCTGCATCGGCATCTTCTTCACCGACCTCCAGCGTGACTTCCACGCTACCAACAGCGAGACATCGTGGTTCCCCTCCATCATGGTGGCCGTGCTGCACGCGGGCGGTAAGTGAGGCCTCCGCGGTGGCCACAGCACCCCTAGGAGACAGCAGGGACCCTTGTTTGGGGGGACCAGACCACCCAGCAGACCGAGGTCTCCCCGGCCTGCTGCCACCGGACCCTCCACGCGCGGCCTCTGTGCTCGTGCTGCCAACAGGCCACCCCAGGGCCACCCAGGAGCCGAGGATCCGGCGAGGCCCGCGGCTCACGTGCACCCTGCTCCTGTGCTGGAGAAAGGTGGCATGGCCCCTTCCACCTGCCCCATGCCGAGCATGTTCCCGGTGGTGGCAGAGGTACCAAAGGCTTTGGCATCTCCTCCAGGGAGATGTGCACCGAGCACATGCGGGATGCGGGAATGGAGGTGACCCGGGTGCAGGACACTGTGGGACAGGGAAAGGGTGGGAGCTGGTGCTCCCTCCACCACGGGGCGGGAGGCCCCCCTGGGAACCAGGCCCTACTTTCCCCATACAAAATGCAGGGCAGGAACCCCAAAACCCCTCAACTCTGGTATTTCTGTGGCAAAGAGAACAGCAGACTGCGCAGCGAGGCCCTCGGTTCACGCACGCCCCGCTCCTGCGCTGGTGAAAGGTGACACTTTATAGCAAGGGACACATAAAAGCCCAGGAGGTCTGAGTCATGCTGATGTTGAGGCCACGGCAGGTTCACGCTCTGCGGTGCAGGACTTGGCCCAGAGCCACCAGACACGGGAGTGGGAGGCTGCCCCTTCCCAGGCCCACTGCAAAAACACAGAAAGCGGCGGCGGGAGGGACGGGCACAGCGGGAGAGCAGCACCTGTGGGGCTGCGAGTGGGGAGAAGGGGCATTCCCGGTGCTGCTTCCCATCGCCATCCCCATCCCCTGCTGCTGCTGCAGTGCCGGGGAGCCCAGCGGCACCCGCTCGCTCTGGGAAACGGCCTTTGAACCCCCCAGCGCCCACATGCTGCTCACCCTGACCCATCCGGGCAGGACAAATCCAGCAGCGTCAGCAGAAAAGCATCGACTCTCCGACTTACTTGACAAATGAAATAATTTAGAGGCCAGAACCACAGCAAAAGATAACACATAGCAATAAACACATGCAAAGGTATAAACTAGACAAGAGTAGATAACTGCTAATTACACTCACTGGGAGTTTGACAAGGCATAACCGGCACAGTTCCAAGCTGGCCGTCACTTGGCTCACCATTTATCCTATCCCATAGAGGCTCTTACAGCAGTAACTTGTACTTGTCCTCCAGGAGTGACATAGCTGTACACCAAGGAGTAAAAACAATGGAAAATCAGAGAGGGAAGATCCCCTCCCAGGCCAAACCTGACAGTTCTAAGTGTCTTTGCAGTGACCCAGGCTCTATTTGATTCAGGTTCTTAGGTTGCATCCATCATATCGGCATTTGAACCCTTTCCAAAATAGCTTTCTGCTACAGCACCTCTTACAGGCTCTTCTCTCTTCTCCTTTAGTCTTTTTAACTGAGAGTAACTGAAAGAAAAAAAAAAGTTTCAAAATTAGTAAACAGACAGGGAAATTGACAGAAAATTCTATTTTCTGACTCATCGGTCAAGTGAGACGGTCGCGTGCAGCAGAGCCAACCTCAGCCCAGTGAGCTCTGGAGGGAAGCAGGGAAAGGCACAATGCAAACAGTAGCTGATAACTTATTAAGCCAAACATTGCTCATTACCCATGCAATGCTCCTAGGAAAAAGCCATGGCTAATTATGTTGAAATAAGGATCGTTCGAGAGGCCTCAGGAGTCTATGACTGTCCTTAATAGGGGAAATGCAAGAGTTCAAGCCCTCAGAGGCTCCTGTTTCTTGATCCTTAGGAACACGTAACTCTCCAGCTCACGTAAGAAGGAATGCAGGAGTTTTACTGACATCATTTTTGCAGGGCAAAGCACAAAAGCCCCAAGCAAGGGAGAAAATAACATTTGAAAAGGAAAAAAGAGCAAGTTAGCAGGAATAAATAATGAAAAACCCTTATGATTTTTAAAACTGACCTCATCATTTTGGAGATTTCAGTTTAGGATTTCTGGCAGCATGGGGTGGGGTAACAGGAGTACCAAGCACAGTATCTTCAGCACAACGACGAATAATGCAGCCCCCAGCTTGCTGAGCCTGCTGATTATTTTTTCAAAGGTCAGTTGAAGTCTGAGGTGAAAATGTCCACAGCTGATCAAAATACAAACAGCTGCAATCTTAATTTTAATAGCCCTCCATTGTTTGCTTGACTTCAGGGATTTTATTTCAAACCAGTCATTGTTTTAAGTCACAAAGATACCACACTGATTGAAGGCTGATTCTGAAGCTTAGAACCATGCTCAATTTGCTTTTTTACCTTATAAGTTACAGAGAAAATAAGATAAAATCTGGAAATCTTTGTGGATCCTCAAAGGAACAGAAAGAGAAGCTCTCTGTTCAGCTCCTCTTCTACCGGAGCACGCAGAGCGCAGCGTGTTTCCCGCTGACGTTCCGCGAGTCTGAGCGCATCTTCTGCCCCAAAATGAAGAAACCTAAATATGCAATATTACAATGCAGTATTACAATGCGATTTGCAAATATGCAAATTTGCCATCTGGCATTATCACATGGAATTCACCCCAAGTCTGTGAAACTTAAAGAATTAACTGACCTAAAACGTACACTTCCATGCCTATTTGTTCTTTTTTTTTTTCTGATGAAATAACATACTCACTTCTTAGGAAAGCCTGCCAGCAATGTCAGCACACAACAAAAAAACAGGTTTCTGCTCAGGATGGGCAGACCCGGGCTCCGGCTCTCCGTAGGATCCTACCTGCACCGGAATCTCGCTCGCGCCCCTGCGTTATTTGTGCCGGAGGCACGGGAGCGGGAACCGGCACGCGTGTGGGCTGCTCCTGCGCCCGCGTCCTCTTGGAAGTGGACGCCGTTCTCCTGACATACCCTTGCCAGGTATGCCAGGACCGGCACGTGGGAAGACCTGTGCTGACAGTTACACCTGATTGTTTTCCCGGGAAGATAACTTGCAGGACAGCTGCAAGACTCCACAAGCTGCAGCTGGGTTGCCGTGGCCTGAAGCATAGATGGATTCCAACACAGACAAGAATAAGCCTCTCCGTGCATTTTGACATAATCCTCCCCAAGGATGTGTATTTTTCTCCCATCCTTGATTCGTTCCAGAGATGATCTGCCTCCTCTTGCAGGGAATTTCATCTAGGTAGAGGGGAGCCAAGGGAAATTTAGGCAATTTTGTGGCAAAATATTTGGAAACCAGTGAAATGAGTGTGGAAGCAGAAATAGCCCCCTGCTTACAGTCTCTTACTCAGTAGCCAGAAATCCATGTCCAAGCCCTAACCCCTTTCAAATAATTCCCAGAGTATCATATCACTGGAGTGACCCTTGAAGACCCTTCTTCCATCCCATTTCCAAGCCTTTTACCTAGATTCTATCATAAGGAGGCTTAGAGATCCTAGCTAATGTCCAGCAACGAAGCAGATGACAGGAACTTTCCCTTCAGCTCGCAAGGAGACCAACGAGTTGGGAGGATGAAAGAACAAATTTCCTATTTCTGGCTTCTCTGCAACACTACGCTGCTGGGACAACGCTCTGGGTCTATAGACTAGATTGCACCATGAGCTCTGACACTTGCAGCAGTTCTTAGAGGACAACCTCCCACAGAAGGTATTTCCTTGCTCCGTAACCTCTTTCCTTGTGCTCCTCCGCTGCCAGGGCCGCTGTGCAGCCTGCTGGTGAAGCGCTTTGGCTGCCGCGTTGCTGTGATGCTGGGGGGTCTGCTCAGCGGCGTGGGCATGGTGGCCAGCTCCTTCTGCACGTCCCTCAGCGAGCTCTACCTAACGGCCGGCTTCATCACCGGTGAGTATCACAGCACAGCAGGGAAACCCGGCTGCTGCACTCGGCTTGGGCGCGTTGAGGCGGGAAGTTTTGGGAATGAGCAGAGTCCAGACCCAACGCTCCCATTTTTCACTCAGCTGATGAACAGGATGAACCAAACCCCCCACCCCTGCTCAGCAGTTGTTTAATGAATAGATTCCCCCAAGCGCACTGGAAAGCACCTCCTTGAGCTGTGCAGAGCTATGGGATCCTAATGACGGAGAGAAAAGGTGCCTGTATTTTTCAGTAGCTTCACAACCTTCTGTATTTGAGAAAATTGTTTGGGACAACTTTCTTCGCAAGTTCCCTGCACTTATCATTCACCACTCCCAATCTAAGGAAACATGGAGATATCTTCTTCTAACAAAAGAACGTGTTGGTTTTGAATAGAAGTAACATATGGGAACATTTCCTCTCCAAATATTTCCTTTACATATCAGTTGTTCTGCTCTTTTTTTTTTTTTTATCTCCACACACAGAGAAATGAGTTTCTGCAGCCAGGTCACTTTGTAGCTGAACCCTGTTGGATCTTGCAAGCTAAGCAGCACGCATTGCATGGAGTTAAAACCACCAAGAAACTCTCTGAGCCTGAGGAAAGTGTCAGAAAGCAGCACTGTCTGCTGCCTGCAGTATATAGAGAAATAAGTCCTTGGTATTTTTCTAAATAAACCAAGAGCATTCTAAATACATTATTAATTTCTAAATAAACTCTATAATTTCTAATTTCTATATAATTCCCAAATAAACTAAGAGCATTCTGTGATACTCTTAGTGTGCCCCAGACAAATGTCAGGTTCGATCAGGGTATTTAGTATACCTAAGAACATGAAGAGTTTAATTCACCTAGGACATCCTTCTTCACCTCCTGTGTAGGGCTACTGAGCATTAAACACTGGGGGTTGCAAGATGAGGAAATACTTCCATGATAAAAGCTGTCATCTGTGGGTATGCTCTGATTTTGGGCTCCTTTCACCTTGCAAGATGGCACAAGAGCATCACAGAATCCTTAAGGTTGGAAGGGACCTCTAGAGATCATCTAGTCCAACCCCCTGCACACGCAGGGTCACCTAGAGCACGTGGCACAGGACTGTGTCCAAGCGGGTTTGAAGATCTCCAGAGAAGGAGACTTCACAACCTCTCTGGGCAGCCTGTTCCAGTGCTCTGGCCCCCTCACTGTCAAGAAATTTTTCCTTAAGTTCCTGTGGAACTTTTGATGCTTCAGCTTTGGCTATTACCTCTAGTTCTGTCAGTGGCCGCCACTGAAAAGAGGCCAGCCCCATCCTCCTCACTCCCTCCCTTGAGGTACTTCTAGACACTGACCAGGTCCCCTTTCAGTTTTCTCCAGGCTGAACAGGCCCAGCTCCCTCAGCCTCTCCTCATAGGGCAGACGTTCCAGGCCTCTGATCATCACGTTCTGTCTTTTTTTTATTTCACCCTTTCCTTAGGTCTGGGAATGTGTTTCAGCTTCCAGGCAGGAGTGACTTCGTTGCGCTACTACTTTGTACGGTGGCAAGCCTTGGCCAATGCCATGGCATCGACGGGCGTCTCTCTTGGCTTAACGCTGTGGCCACTCCTTTCTCAGTACTTGCTGGATGAGATGGGCTGGAGAAACACTTTCCTCATCTTTGGAGGGATCCTCTTGAACTGCTGTGTTTGTGGAGCCATTATAAGACCCGTTCAGCTGGCATCAAAATCGTTACTACATCCGGCCAGGCCTGGAGAACAGCCAGGGAGAGAAGCAGAAGAGACACAGTTGGCCAATGGGGGGTCCTCTCCCCACCCAAAGGTGCAGCCAGCCAGGAGGACTGCATGCTTCCAGGTGCTGAAGAAGTACCTGGCTTTTGACATCTTCTGCCAAAACAAAGGTTATCAAATTTACACTATTGGAGTTACCTGGATGATGTTGGGTTTTGCATTACCCCACATCTACCTCGTGCCTTATGCCATCCACAGCGGGGTGGAGGAACGCATGGCAGCTCTCCTCATCTCAGTGATTGGTTTCATCAACATCTTCATACGCCCTTTGACAGGGCTGCTCTCAGGACTCAGTTTCTTCACAGGGAGACGGATCTACCTGTTCTGCCTGGCTGTGCTCCTCTGCGGGCTCAGCAACTTCATCTGTATCATTTCAGCCAAGTTCAGTGTGCTCATCCTCTACTGCGTCCCCCTCAGCATAGCCATGAGCGGCATTGGGGCACTCCTCTTCCAGGTGCTAATGGATGTGGTGGAGACCGACAGGTTCTCAAGTGCTTTAGGTCTCTTCACCATCCTGGAGAGTATCACTCTCCTCACTGGACCTCCTCTCACAGGTGAGAGAAGCTGTTAAGGCAGAGTGGGGAAGAATAGGTTATTAAGACTCCCTAGTGACAAGCATTTGGGAGCATAAGGAGGAAAGACGGAGCTCCCAAGCCCATGCAGGCAGGTGTGTTATGCAGGGGGAGCAAAATAAAAGGGAGAATCAGAAAATCTCCAACCCCCCTTCTCACGCCATCTCCACAGGTGCCCAAGCATCACTGAAGCAAGAGCAGACAGTGAATATGTGACCTATTTGTTATGCAGCTTTGATAGCCATGAATGTGATGAGTTGTTTTGTTTCTTAAGAATTACAGTGGTAGGATCCTGCTATCTAAGAGCTCTTTCACTGCTTTGCTAGTTTGCATTGTTTTACCTGTGAAGTCTCAAGGAATTGCAAATGTCCAGTTAAACACATTTCCTGTGATCAGAAGCATTGCTGGTTTTACATTATTCAAGGACCTTGCAGTAAAAGCTTCTACTCACCCTTCTTTCTGAGCCCTAGAGTTTATTCATTCTGCTCTGGTGACAGGGAGTTAATTGCTGCCTCCAACCCAATATATTATTCCAAAATCACTGGATCACTCCAAGCACTGCTAAAATGACCTGTCGAAGACACAGCTGCTCCTGCAGTATAGAAGCACATTCGATTGATAAGTGAGAAATATGAACCTGAGCATGAATCAATTCTGGGTTTCAGTTCTCTCCTCCAGACAACGAATTGTGCATCATTCAGCAGTAAAATATCTGCCTCTTCTAAGAACAGGATGACAATATGCACGGTATTTCACACTATATTCCCAGGCATTAAAGTTACACTTTTCTCAAAGTGAAGAAAAAAAGTGTTTTCTTGAACAGCTGATAGTAAAGGCAGATGGGCACAATAAAGCATAGTAAGAATAATTCCATTCTTATTTAGACTCCTGAAGTCTGCTAAAGCAAACCCACTATGAAAGGAAACATTGCCCCATTATGAAAGGAAACATTGGCAATTCTTACCTAAGACTGCATGCAGAAAGCAAACTTTACTCCAGTAATCCATATATACATGCAGCCTGTATAGGAAGTACCAGATGTTTTACTTGAATATGGCCTTTCCATCTTACAGGTTAATACTCTTAAATATTTTATATTGAGACACTTAAAATTAGTTATAATACTTGCTGTGCTGTGAATTTTCCTCATCCTGATTATGCGCTGTTAAAAGAAGATGAGGTTTCAGCTTACAGACCAGAACACATTGATTTTGGAGATAATTCTCTATTTACTTGCTCAGTGTTCTGACCTGGGATGCAAGAAGTCCAAAAATCCAATGAAGGGCAGTGGCACAGGGATTCTCTACTGAGTAAACACAACGAATCAGCAGTCTGGGGAAAAAAAAATCCAGCTTCCTTTTTTCCCTCCAATTTCTCAGTTTATTGGGAAATGTTTTACATGGAAGCATAAACACCACCTGGGCAGGGACTACAAATGTAAGCAGCTCTAGAATCTACAGAAGAAAACTGAACTCATCTGTCAATGTTTATCTATAGCCAACTTGACAAGTGATTTAGGTTTAACATACAGTTGCTTTTAGTCTGCATTGTCTTTTCGACTAAACTGTGATTCCTATTTCAGGTTTCCTGGTGGACATAACTAGAAATTTCCACTTTGTCTTCTATACCTCCAGTTTTTTCCTGATATCGTCTGCATTATTCATGGGATTCAGCTTCTGTGCTCTGGAAAGAAAAAGAAAACTGAAAGAGGCCTCAAATGCGCCTTTGGGTAATTCTTCCAAACGTCAATGCAATGAAATACTAACTGAACCACTGTCGGAAAGACAATCCCCTCCTGCAGAGGACCGCATCACAAATATATGAAAAAAAAAGAACAACACACAAAAAAAAGAGATGAACCCAAACGATTATGTGGCCAGTATGAAGCTACAAAAGGCCCAACACTGACACTGGACGAGAAAATTACCTGCTTTTCACAACTACCATCGCCCTTCTGAGCAGCACTTCCATTCAGTGGGGCTGCATTGGCCACCACGTGAGCAAGCAGGTCAGAGGCTGAGCCCAAAGCCCAGCACCAGCCAAAGGACACACGGAATCACACATTCCTAAACCAAACTGTGGGATACCGGCCATGGGAGCCGCTTCTGACACACAAAAGCTGGGTTGATTCAATGGGTTTAGGCCAGTGTTTTTTAGCGGACACTGGAATTTCATATACACGTTGCAGTTGCTGACACTGGCAAACACGTATTAATGGCTAAGCACAAGGCTGGTTTTTTTCACAACCAGGTATTATTGTTCCTAGAAATGTTAAATGTTACTGATTTCCCTAGTCCGAACATGCCATTTTGGTGCAAACTCATATGAAGATTCCTGGTTGCTTTCCATATGGGGTGGGGGAGAAAAGACAAACACTTTCCTTGTGAAGTGTGTTATTATTTCCTACATTGCTAAATATTACATGGAGGTTGTGCTATGGGTTGCTGAAATCAGGCAAGTCTCTAACAAGATCAAATACTCTTTCTTACAATGTGCAATGATTTTTTCATTTCATGGATATTTACAAAGACCCAAAGGTTCAACTGCAAAGTATCAAAAAAAAAATCTTTGAGTGATGGATTTTTTTAGCTAGTGATATCTCAAATTTCCTGATTTGTCACAAAATGGTATTCATGATTTAGAGCTTTACTTCCTTCCAGCATTCACTGAGGGGGAAGGTGGTGGGGAGGAGGAGGAGGGAGACATTAGAACTGAGAATAATCACGTGCATCTTTATATAGGCTCAAATTCAAAGGCGTTGTAGCATTCACATTTCCCCCTCGTGTTAAGAAATTTAGCTCTTTAGCTCAGGCCTGAGACTCTCAGCCTTAGCTACACTAGCATTTTCATTACAGAGAAGTTGGTATGAGCACAACTTACCCGTCAAAAAGAAATCGCTGGGGAAAAATACAGTGAGAGAAGTCAGTGTTGACTTTCACATCCACACAGTGTCTTGATTTTAGGTGTTTTTTCTGGCTACACTCCCAAGATCTGCACATGTAATTACTAGCACGCAAGTTGCATCAGCTCTAGCCTCTCTCAGGATCAGCTCCAACTGCAAAATCGCTTTTATTTCATACAAGTTTTGATCTGATATAAGCAGAGAGCTCACACAGCACTGGGGCTGAAGCCTGCAAAACCATCTGAAAAACGGGAGCGTAAGAAAGGAGCGAAATGTCAGAAGCAACAGCTTTCAACACAGCCTTAGAGCTTATCTTGAGAACTGTTATGTCAAGCCCTTAGCAATAAAACCACAGTTTGCATTAGACCTGTGGGCTTCCCAGCCAACAGAAAACACTGGGAAGAAAAAAAGGAACACTGGAAAATTGACTCCCAGGCTTCCCAAGACAATGACAGCTTCCCAGTTAGCCATTCCAGTAAGAGGTATCAGACCCTCAGAACTGTTCCTGTTCCCACAACTTGCATGTATTTCTTTCGGTCGTGGTCTAGGATTACTGAACCAGTAACACTTCACTTCTCCTCATCAAACATACACTCAAATACAATGACCAGTAGGAGACATATATATCTAATCTCTAGTCACAGGTGTTTATTAATTTCTGTAAAGTTTAAATAGTCCATAACCACAAAGTAAACAGGGGCTGGTTCTTCTCAGCTTACTGAAACAATGAGTGCTCTCCTTCCCTAGGGAAAAACTGGGGGTTTCCTCATCAAAGCAAACCATTGAGAAGGGATCAAGTCGCAAACTTGTTCTAGCTATCACAAATAAAGGAGCTAGACAGCTGACCGGATTGCCGTTCTCTCTGTATGCAATTCTTAAATTCTAAATTCACCCAGGAAAGACAGGGTCTGAGCGACAACACGTGCAAACGCGTCCCAGAAGAATATGAAGTCAGTTGGAAGAGCAATTGAGCTCATCCCTGACACAGCAGCTGTTTCAGCTGCAGGGCTTTCGGCCTAGCTGGCTCCTAAGCAAGGAAACAAAGTCTGACGCATTCTGCTCCCTGCACGATAAGGAAAGAAGTAAATAATGCACCTCAGCTGCAGCTCAGCAGTTCCTCCTATGCTACGGCAACAAGAATCTCCATTCTGACTATTTCTTAGTTGGGTACAAGAGTGCAAAACCATTTAGGAGGGAAAGTTAGGAGAGTTCTGTGCAGAACTTCTTTGCGATACTCTCAGACTCCAGGGCAGGGTCACTGGGATTTATTTTCACAGGCAGAGAAGTTTTCTGGGAAGAAAAACAGCTCGTTTACAAGTCTGCAGTTCATTTTTTAACGGCCTAGCTGGCTCCTAAGCAAGGAAACAAAGTCTGACGCATTCTGCTCCCTGCACGATAAGGAAAGAAGTAAATAATGCACCTCAGCTGCAGCTCAGCAGTTCCTCCTATGCTACGGCAACAAGAATCTCCATTCTGACTATTTCTTAGTTGGGTACAAGAGTGCAAAACCATTTAGGAGGGAAAGTTAGGAGAGTTCTGTGCAGAACTTCTTTGCGATACTCTCAGACTCCAAGGCAGGGTCACTGGGATTTACTTTCACAGGCAGAGAAGTTTTCTGGAAAGAAAAATAGCTCGTTTACAAGTCTGCAGTTCACTTTTTTTTTTTTTTTTAATATCATGTTCACTAAAAAATTTCCATCAGCCCTAAGGAATTTAAAGTGACTGAAAATAGTCCTTCCCTACCTGTTTGCAGCCTGAGTTCCCAGCTGCCTTGAGCAGCAGCTTTGTAACGTGGGTTTGAAGGGGCCACGCACCCTGAGAATGCTCCAGTATAATGCATATTCCCTCTCGGACCTATGGTACAGAAATATTAATACTCAAGGCTTAAGAATCATGAGGCTCACAAGAAAAATAAAGTAATAAAAGTTCTTTTCAGCAGTTCAAGGTCATCTCGTTACGCAAGGTAACCACAGCTTAATTACTGCCATCCCTGAAGCAGCTTTTTTGAACATGCGGGGTTTAATTATGGACAAACACCAACACCTCAGGCAGGTTAGAAGCCTCTGAGAACCAGCAGAGGGGAAAAAAATGGCCAGAAAGAATATCCTTTTTGCTGTCCTCTAGCACCCCTCCCTACTGCCTTTGTTGAATAAAAGCGTATCGTTAACTTTACAAGCTAAGCATGTTTCCGACAAGCACTTTTCCTTATTGCAACCAAACATTCACAAGAAGTGTTCACACGGAAATATTTCAAGACTGTGATCCTTATATATCTGAGATACCTCACCAGTGTAATTGCTTGGGCAGTTTAATTGAAAAATATGGAAGAGTCCCGGTCAGCTTACACACTAACGTGCCTTGGAGCGCAAAATCACTTAGCCGAAGAGCTTGTTGTACTGTTTGAAGATTTGGCTGCATAAGGAACTGCTAGAAATTAAACATTAAACATGAAAATGTAGTGTATTTTAGTCAGTGCCATCAGGTGGGAGCCACTGTCCCTGGAGGAGCCCTTGAGGCTGTGGATAATCCAGCTGTATTAGCACATTGAGTGCTAAGTACGGTGTCAAACAGCAGTTGCTTGAAGCATTCAGCCCATTAAACAATATAGCCAATAGTGCCGCAGTAAAGAGCCAGGATAAGCACATTATACACCTACCTCTGCCTACTCCGCCAGCTGCCAGGCTTTTTGGATGATCAGGACAAACTCCCTGCAGTAAATCGGCACAGAGGCAACAAGTGTACAGCTCATAACGAAGCGGTACCAGCAACCCTGCCGTAATTCCTATGGGAAACCTCTGAGGACTGCAAACCCAAGGACCTTGATCAAATCCTCCTCCAGGAGGCAGCTCCACCACGTCAAATTCAAAGCAAAACGTTCCTGGGGTTTCCCACCAGCTGGGATCAAACCCAGAGCAAGACAAATGCTATATGGAGCAAATAGGAATTATTGGAAGGACAAATGGTGCTTTTTTTCTCCTGATTACCTCTTGCCATGCCAAATAGTGTGACCTGGAGAGTGCACTTTTCAGGAGGGCATCACCTGAAACACCTGAAGTGGGCAGAGACAAGAGCCTTTCCTAAACACTGCTCCCTGTGAAACCACTCCAGGGGACAAAGTTTCTCCTGTTTCTGACCACAAACACAGTATTTGTCAATATAAGTCATTCCATCCTTCCTCTTTCAATAGTCACTTTTTTCACCCCCAATATAGTCAGTCCTTAATCCCTGGTCTTTACATTGGCTACATCCCCTGTATTTGCCTTCTCTTCTCCTGCTTTCCCACATTACTCATTCACCTTCTTCGTAATGATAGATACAGCTCTAACGTATGTCAACACTTACCCATTCACAAAAAAAGAGACTTATTAATACACTAGCAAACTATTCTAACAAAAATAAAGTGTAACATCTAACACTTTGATCATTTTCATTCATACACATAAATACACATTTTAACTGAAAACTAGTATAACTTCTGAAGCCGCTAGCACAGAGCAAGCCTAAAAGTTCCTACTAGGTATCTCTAATCAACCTTGAGCCCACAGACAGATATTTTCACCATGTCCAGCCATGTGTTATCAGCAGTCATCATCCCAACCCACTTGTAATTGATGCCAAGTATTTGGCGGGTCAGACCATCAGACCATGCAAAAATCCACTACATTTGAGGTAATGCAAAAGACAGCATCTGTTTCCCATCAGTTCTACAAAAGAAGCTGCATTAATTTAATTACAAACTTCTACAGAGCCCACCTCAACTCATGACGTTTATATTTTCCTGATAGATTTGCACAACATGAACCATGTTTGGAACCACCTGCAAGTGTTTGCAATCACAGTGGTTACATTATAGCAGCAATTGCTTAGCATTATGTAATCGCCCTGCTTTGCGTTTAGACCAGGACATTTAACAACTGGGGTGGAATTACCTGGTTTTTTTTTTTTTTTTTTTTAATACTAATTCAGTTCTCTTTCTTGGCACTGCTCCATGGCTTTGTTTCCAGGTGATTTTTCTTACTTTTTAAAAACAGCTGGTTGTTCCATCCTTCTTTAGCCCAAGAGGCTTAATCCCAGCATAACAGAAAATAAACTACGATTTTTATTCCCTCCCGCTCTTCTCCCTGCCCTCCTACGCGCTGCCGTCTTTGCGGTGGTAGCGGTCCATGTTACCCTATCCCTATGGATCCCGGTGGGCAAAGAGTGCGGGGAGCTGCCGAGACAGAACCAGCAGCTCCCGGATGGACCCGGGTTATCACATCAGTATAGCTGTGGCCCGGGGGAAACCATTTAGTGCCATTTTAACGCTGATTGGTGTTTATTACAACCAATTCTGGGAAACCAGACAGGAAAATAAGTGGGGAAAAAAAAAGGGGGGAAATGTTTTGAGTAGATACTTAGGAGGTGATGCAAGCATGGGTCTTTGGAAGAATAAAGGGAAAAAATCAAAACTAAATTTTCACTCCTAGTTAAATACAGAGAAAAGAAAAAAAAAACAAAACGAGG